TGAAGAACTGGGAAAGTTTACTTACTTCCAGGTCCAGCAGGCAGATGGATTCAGGAGCATCTGTTTCAAGCCTTGATGTTTCTTGTGGCAAGTGAAAAAGCTGTTTTAATACTTTGCGCAGCGGGAATAACGCTGACATAGAATTCCACTGCAAGCCAAGCCAAACAAGGTGCTGGAGACTGCCACTGTGCATTCGAACAGCACCTGTGCAAAAACAAAGGTTGTAAGATGCTAGGATCTGCGTCCTAGTTAGGAAGACCTGCATCTGAAAGCTGGGTTTCATTACAAGAGAAGGAGCTCTGAATATTTCTCCCACTGAAGGGCTTCCCCAGCAACCTCCTCCCACCTGTTTGCCTCTGTCTAACAAGCTGGAGCTAAGAATGTTCAAGTAAGATGTAGCATTCTTCAAGTGATTCCTGCTCCTGTTTATATTATATAAATAACTATAAAAAAAACAACCCAACAATAGTATCTATTTCATAAAAGTGCACCAGCAAAGTATATTAATACTTCACCTTTTCTGTCAAAGCAAAAAAATGGAGATAATATAATACTTCTCTAACGGGGTTAATCTTTAGCCTATATGCAATAAATGTTTGTTTTTCTTTTTTAATTTTGTATTTAAAACCATGATGAACAAACTTCTTCAGAGAGACCATAATAGCATGAACTTTTATTTTAATATGTAAAATACATATATATTCAACAAGAGAAAGGCCATAAGCCTTATTGCTTTGCACTCTGATCGGTAGTTTTCGTTTGAATAGTCTACATATATTTTTGACCACTAATAGCTAAGTAGAAGACTACTAGCATTCTACTCTTGTTACACCCAAATTCAAAGCAAGCCCTCATCGTCAAGTTCAGCTTAAAAACAGAAAGATTTCACTAGCTCACAACTCCTCCTGGAATTATTTCATTTTTATGGAACCCTTTATTGTAACCTGTATTCATAGATTACACATGAAGAAGTATGTGCCTTCCTATTAGCACTTACAAGTGTATAAACACGGAAAGCTAAACAGGCAGCCTCAACTAGAAATGAATCAGAACAGACCAGAAGACAACAGTGTGGAAGCAGGAAGTATGTGAGAAATTCTTCAGAACCTGGCATGCTGATACTGCCTCTC